TTTAAAAAAGTCAACGTGTCAACAGGAATGCTTCTGTGTGAGGGTGTATGTGTGTATTTGGATGGGAATTTTGGGAAAAGGGAAGTCTGAGTAATGCAAGAATGAAAGATGAAGAAAACTGGAATGTTTGATGTTGATAAATTGTGAAATGAGTTGAAGATGGGAATGTGACAGTTTTCGTGACACTTTGGAGTAGCTTTGTTGAGCAATTCTTTAAAAAAGTCAACGTGTCAACAGGAATGCTTCAGTGTGAGGGTGTATGTGTGTATTTGGATGGGAATTTTGAAAAAAGGGAAGTCTGAGTAATGCAAGAATGAAAGATGAAGAGGATTGGAATGTTTGAGGTTGATAAATTGTGAAATGAGTGGAAGATGGGAATGTGACAGTTTTCGTGACACTTTGGAGTAGTTTTGCTGAGCAATTCTTTAAAAAAGTCAACGTGTCAACAGGAATGCTTCAGTGTGAGGGTGTATGTGTGTATTTGGATGAGAATTTTGGGAAAAGGGGAGTCTGAATAATGCAAGAATGAAAGATGAAGAAAACTGGAATGTTTGAGGTTGATAAATTGTGAAATGAGTGGAAGATGAGAATGTGACAGTTTTCGTGACACTTTGGAGTAGCTTTGCTGAGCAATTCTTTAAAAAGTCAACGTGTCAACGGGAATGCTTCTGTGTATAGGTGTATGTGTGTATTTGGATGAGAATTTTGGGAAAAGGGGAGTCTGAATAATGCAAGAATGAAAGATGAAGAAAACTGGAATGTTTGAGGTTGATAAATTGTGAAATGAGTGGAAGATGAGAATGTGACAGTTTTCGTGACACTTTGGAGTAGCTTTGCTGAGCAATTCTTTAAAAAGTCAACGTGTCAACGGGAATGCTTCTGTGTATAGGTGTATGTGTGTATTTGGATGAGAATTTTGGGAAAAGGGGAGTCTGAATAATGCAAGAATGAAAGATGAAGAAAACTGGAATGTTTGAGGTTGATAAATTGTGAAATGAGTGGAAGATGAGAATGTGACAGTTTTCGTGACACTTTGGAGTAGCTTTGCTGAGCAATTCTTTAAAAAGTCAACGTGTCAACGGGAATGCTTCTGTGTATAGGTGTATGTGTGTATTTGGATGAGAATTTTGGGAAAAGGGGAGTCTGAATAATGCAAGAATGAAAGATGAAGAAAACTGGAATGTTTGAGGTTGATAAATTGTGAAATGAGTGGAAGATGAGAATGTGACAGTTTTCGTGACACTTTGGAGTAGCTTTGCTGAGCAATTCTTTAAAAAGTCAACGTGTCAACGGGAATGCTTCTGTGTATAGGTGTATGTGTGTATTTGGATGAGAATTTTGGGAAAAGGGGAGTCTGAATAATGCAAGAATGAAAGATGAAGAAAACTGGAATGTTTGAGGTTGATAAATTGTGAAATGAGTGGAAGATGAGAATGTGACAGTTTTCGTGACACTTTGGAGTAGCTTTGCTGAGCAATTCTTTAAAAAGTCAACGTGTCAACGGGAATGCTTCTGTGTATAGGTGTATGTGTGTATTTGGATGAGAATTTTGGGAAAAGGGGAGTCTGAATAATGCAAGAATGAAAGATGAAGAAAACTGGAATGTTTGAGGTTGATAAATTGTGAAATGAGTGGAAGATGAGAATGTGACAGTTTTCGTGACACTTTGGAGTAGCTTTGCTGAGCAATTCTTTAAAAAGTCAACGTGTCAACGGGAATGCTTCTGTGTATAGGTGTATGTGTGTATTTGGATGAGAATTTTGGGAAAAGGGGAGTCTGAATAATGCAAGAATGAAAGATGAAGAAAACTGGAATGTTTGAGGTTGATAAATTGTGAAATGAGTGGAAGATGAGAATGTGACAGTTTTCGTGACACTTTGGAGTAGCTTTGCTGAGCAATTCTTTAAAAAGTCAACGTGTCAACGGGAATGCTTCTGTGTATAGGTGTATGTGTGTATTTGGATGAGAATTTTGGGAAAAGGGGAGTCTGAATAATGCAAGAATGAAAGATGAAGAAAACTGGAATGTTTGAGGTTGATAAATTGTGAAATGAGTGGAAGATGAGAATGTGACAGTTTTCGTGACACTTTGGAGTAGCTTTGCTGAGCAATTCTTTAAAAAGTCAACGTGTCAACGGGAATGCTTCTGTGTATAGGTGTATGTGTGTATTTGGATGAGAATTTTGGGAAAAGGGGAGTCTGAATAATGCAAGAATGAAAGATGAAGAAAACTGGAATGTTTGAGGTTGATAAATTGTGAAATGAGTGGAAGATGAGAATGTGACAGTTTTCGTGACACTTTGGAGTAGCTTTGCTGAGCAATTCTTTAAAAAGTCAACGTGTCAACGGGAATGCTTCTGTGTATAGGTGTATGTGTGTATTTGGATGAGAATTTTGGGAAAAGGGGAGTCTGAATAATGCAAGAATGAAAGATGAAGAAAACTGGAATGTTTGAGGTTGATAAATTGTGAAATGAGTGGAAGATGAGAATGTGACAGTTTTCGTGACACTTTGGAGTAGCTTTGCTGAGCAATTCTTTAAAAAGTCAACGTGTCAACGGGAATGCTTCTGTGTATAGGTGTATGTGTGTATTTGGATGAGAATTTTGGGAAAAGGGGAGTCTGAATAATGCAAGAATGAAAGATGAAGAAAACTGGAATGTTTGAGGTTGATAAATTGTGAAATGAGTGGAAGATGAGAATGTGACAGTTTTCGTGACACTTTGGAGTAGCTTTGCTGAGCAATTCTTTAAAAAAGTCAACGTGTCAACAGGAATGCTTCAGTGTGAGGGTGTATGTGTGTATTTGGATGAGAATTTTGGGAAAAGGGAAGTCTGAATAATGCAAGAATGAAAGATGAAGAAAACTGGAATGTTTGAGGTTGATAAATTGTGAAATGAGTGGAAGATGAGAATGTGACAGTTTTCGTGACACTTTGGAGTAGCTTTGCTGAGCAATTCTTTAAAAAGTCAACGTGTCAACAGGAATGCTTCAGTGTGTGTATTTGGATGGGAATTTTGAGAAAAGGGAAGTCTGAGTAATGCAAGAATGAAAGGTGAAGAAAACTGGAATGTTTGAGGTTGATAAATTGTGAAACGATGTGTCGTATGTAGCTTGAATAAAGTTGAAGATGGGAATGTGACTGTTTTCGTTTGATTAAGCAATTCTTTAAAAAAGTCAACATATCAACAGGAATGCTTCGGTGTATGGGTGTGTGTGTGTATGTTTCGATGGGAAGTGTGGGTAATGGAAGAATGGAGGATGAACAAGATTGGAATTTGATAAATTGTGAAACGGTCTGTTTTAGGTGGAACGAAGTTGAAGATGGGAATGTGACTGTTTTCGCGAGAATGTGGAACAGTTTAATTAAGCAATTCTTAAAAAAAAATTCTACGTACCAACAGGAATGCTTTAGTATGTGGGTGTATGCGTAGGTATGTCTAAGTAATGGAAGAATGAGAAGTGAAGAAGATAGGAATGTTTCAAGTTGATAAATTGTGAAATAACGTGGTTAAATTGGAATGAAGCTGAAGATGGAGATATGACAATTTTCGCGGGAATGTAGAGTAATTTCGTTAAAATTTTCGTATTAAAAAACAAACTCTTCGCACATATTAAAGAAACCAACGTATCAAGAGGAACACTATCGACACTTTACGTTTGCGTAAAAGATCGGCGACGATGATACACCGTGATTTCGTGAAATATGACTCACTCGATAAACCCAAAGGTGTGTTGAACGTGGACGGTGTGAATTGGAAGGATTGTCGTTGATTAGTAGCCGATAGATTGCCGAACTTGTTAGAGGAGGTCGATGAAAGTTCCACGAGCATCTCCCAACCGTTGCGTCACACTTCGTTTAAACAAGTTTGCCTTCGTGCTGAATAGCTTTAATTTACCACGAAGCGCTCGGTAACGAGTCAAGTTCGACCGATCGAAAAAGACAAATTGATCGACCTAATATTTTCAAATAACCACCGACATATATACCTACACCTTTATTTCCTTTCCAATTCATTTTTTCCCTTCCAGCATCCACAACCTACACGCGCGCACACTCGCAAAACAGGCAGATCAGACGTGAGCTTATAAGTGTGCAATCTCGAGGAAGCCTGTTGTCGTTTATACGACCGTAAATCGCGCGTTATTCGAACGTTCAAGTCGATTATAATCCATTGAAGAGCGAATAAATTCGTTCGATTTATCGATTACCAGGTCGAGAGGATCGTCAGTTCGTTTAATTGCCCACTTCTAATTTATTCCAACTTTCTAATCGGCTGCCTGCGCGGAAACGACGATCCGAGGAGGCAGCCGAGTTTTCAATTAGCGATCCTCCCGTGATTCTCTCGTTTTGATCGATTCACCACGATTAAAACGCGAACACGTCCTGTCGATTTTAATTGAACAACGTTTGCTGCAAAAGTGGAATGAACGAAAAACTCGTAAAATCGTTTCGTCAACGATCAACGACGATTTCGTAGTAAACGAGGAGTTGCCGGTGACAAAGAAAACAGGTGTTACTTCTATACTGTGGTTTATTAAATAAACACTGCTACTCCCTCTCGGCGACGGTTTTACATTTATACAAAATTGGAAAAAACGGATCGGCAGCTCCGATCCACCAACCCTCGCACGTTACGGCTACCGTAGGCAATATGTACAGAAAATCTACTTGCGAACTTTCAACTCGGAGAACGGCGATTATTTACACTCTATGTACACGACACGTTTTTTAGACAGAAACGTGTCTGAAAATTGGCACAGATTCACGACACACCTAACCGCTTCCCATGGACAACGCCACGGCGTTTTGTCCGTTTGGCATTCCTCTCCCGCTAGACGAGTTCATTAATTCGATCCAAAAACCAATCGCGAGCTTGTCTCAACTTCATCTCCAATCGAGTTTCTTTCCGCGAAAGAAACTTCCACTTTGGTTAGATTCTTCCTGTTACGCGGTACACCTTGCATTCTGCATTCACCTTCCGCAGCATTTTACCTCGTTGCAACTCTCCATAAATGGACCCAACATCCATTCCAACTTCCAGCTAGCCATCTTCACTTCGACTTCTTTCTCTTCTCGTTAGTTTCACTTCCACTCTTCTTCCATACATTCCGCTCGAACCCTACAAATTCTTCTCTATCCGTCGATTTATCTCTCCTTCGTTTCCCGACACCTCTCTCCGATCTTTCCTCGGTTTTCTCTCGTTGCCTCTCGATTTTCCCGCTCGACAATCACGGGGGACGAGAATTGCGTCCACTGCGATCGGATTTTCAACGTGAAAATCGATATCGTTTTGTTCAGAGGTGAACAGAGACGGTTCACTACCGTTCGTGGCCAAGTTCCGACTCTCCTCGTTGCTTTCAGTCCCTGGAAGGATGCTGAGAGATCGGATGATGCGGCGTTAGACCAGGATGAGACAGCATTCCGACGGGATAGAGACTGGCCGGTGTGAGAAGGCCAGGATGAGAGCCGTAAAGTGCCGTGTGGTGTTGTCTCACCGCCGACATCCGCAATTTCTCGATCTCCGCTTCCTGCATTCGCTTCGCCTTGGCGCGACGATTTTGAAACCAGATCTTCACCTGCAACAATGAATTCGTTCGGATTTGTTACTCGACGGCTACTTGCTCGGGCTGCCTTAATGGCTCGATGATTTTGTCGAGCGGTCGGCTTTGTGGTTTCAGGGTGAATTGGCCGGTGATACTTCGAGATTGCGGCTGAGGCTACGGTGCATGGAGAAAGAGGTGAGCAAAGTGGATCGGGGTTTGAGGTGTTTTTACCGTGTCAGATGTAAGCTGGTGCTTTTCTGATTTATCTCGCTGGATGAATACTTTGGTATCGAATAAGAGAGATAGTCGTGAAAAGTGAATAGGAAATGGAGTGGAATTAAGCTCGTTGATTGAGGGGTTAGTAAATTTGACACACTGTGCGACGAGAATTTAGGTATGACAAATTGGGATGCTCAAGGTTTCTTCCTGGTATGTAGGATCTGAGAAAAATTAGGTAAAATAAATTATAATATTAAAAGTTTCTCGCTGAATATCAAATTTGAAAGCTCCCTAATTTAGGCACAATTTAAGTAACCTAAGGCTCCGTTGGAAATATTTTCTATTACAAATATGAGAAACTAAAGAATTTACACAGACAACTGATATACCCGTTGTAAAAAAAAGTTCAATTTCTACGTAATTAAACTTGACCCTTTCGCCACGGCAGATTTCAATAGCGGCCGCACTGCAAAGAGCAAAATTTAACGATTAAATTACGCTGAAAGTGCGCCGAAAGGCGCCAACACCAGTGAAAGGGTTAAAATAATTTTGAACTAAGAACTAAAACAAATAATTCACGTCTCGACACACAAAGGGTTAAACCAGTCCAAAAGAAAGACCGTGTTCCCGAAAACCCTCTCGTGAAAAGTAAATCGAACAAAAGCAACCTTCTTCAAAAAGACTAACTCATCAGCGTCGCCTTAATTTCCCAGCCAATTAACACCCGGCTACACCGCATCCAGCGTGGAAAATAAACGGAGATAAGCAGACGAGCAACGCCTATTGTCCCTAGGAATAACAGAAGCTGCTCGAAAGTCTATGTTAAGCGGCTTGGCGGTAAAGATAGAGGGAATTTGTCGAGGGGCAATAGTTCTTCGCGGCAACGAGGAACGGGCGAACGGATCGTCTCGTTGACAGACGCGTGGACGAAACCGCGTTTTCGAAGGAACGGGACCGGCGACCTGGGATAATTGGTCGGTCATCGTGCGTTTCGGCCAATTTGTACGTCTATTAATAAAATGGCCGTGTTGTTCGCCAGCGGCGGGAATACCGCGCGCTAATTACCCCGCGTCTGGCAACATAGGTTCACCGGCGGGCCCTTGACTGGTGAACTGCTCGTTCGGCGACCGAGAGAAATGGATTTCGAGTCCGTTCTGTTGTTAACACGTGAGACGTCTCGTGTTCGACGAAGCGGAGGTAAACGTTCGGTGGTGAACTGTGAGATTTTGCGTTTATTCGGCGACCGAGAGAAATGGATTTCGAGTCCGTTCTGTTGTTAACACGTGAGACGTCTCGTGTTCGACGAAGCGGAGGTAAACGTTCGGTGGTGAACTGTGAGATTTTGCGTTTAGGGTTGAACGGTGTGAGAAAGTTCGAGAGAAGAAATTATCGAGCTAAGTTCCCAAGTTCCTTTGAAGACGATGAACGAGTGACGAGGTTGGATCGTGAGATTTTGTCTTTTGGGGTTGAACGGTGTGAGAAAGTTCGAGAGAAGAAATTATCGAGCTAAGTTCCCAAGTTCCTTTGAAGACGATGAACGAGTGACGAGGTTGGATCGTGAGATTTTGTCTTTTGGGGTTGAACGGTGTGAGAAAGTTCGAGAGGGAAAATAAAGAAATTGTGACTTAAATTTTCAAGTCTCTTCGAGGACGATGGACGAGTGACGAGGTTGGATCGTGAGATTTTGTCTTTGGGGTTGAACGGTGTGAGAAAGATCGACGGAAGAATAAAGTTCCCAAGTCTCTTCGAGGACGATGAACGAATGACGAGGTTGGTCTTTAGAGTTGAACGGTGTGAGACAGTTCGAGAGAAAAATAAAAAAATTAGTATTGAGTTAAGTTTCTAAGTCCTTTTGAGGACGATGAACGAATGACGAGGTTCGAGTGTGAGATTACTTCTTTAGGGAGCTTCGTTGGAACTTCAAATATGGCGTAATAGATTGGTAAAATTTGTTGGAGAGAATTTTTTAGTGAAATCGTGTTCCTTAACCCATTGAGTACGATGAAGCTATATATTCATTTATGAAAATGTACGAACGTAACTAATACATTCATACATTTTTGACGGATAAAAATAATTAACCCTTTCGTTCCCACTGTAACCACGTGACTACATTATCTATGTAATTTTTATTATAAAATATTCTAAAGAAATGATAACTAAATGCACTTCATTTGGAAACAAACATCTTATCTATATTCTGCAATTTATACCGGAAGTTTAATTACACTTAAAACCTCGTGTAAATGCAACACGTTTTTTGCAAATGTTAAATAGACAGCAGAGAAGATGTTTCTAAAATCTCTCGTTTAATATTTTCTACAGCTGTTGAATAATTTGGAAACGAAATGGTACACAAGTACATACGTTTTCGTAGCTAATTTAAACGAAAAGAAAAATATTGGAGTAACGACCTAGTTAATATGTTGTACAACTAGCCAGTATCTCGACATGGTACGTAACCCTCCGTCCAGAAAGGGTTCAGGATCTCAGAGAGCGAGTATTTGTGTCCAATAAATCAGTACGATAAACGATAAAAAATTGTGCTGGAGAGAACGCAGAAAGCCAGAAAATAAAATGTAAATGCGATGTACCAAAGTGTTGATGTAACGCATAAAATTAACGCTCAAGAAAACAGAACAATCACCTATGAAAAACAAGAAAAAAAAAAAAGAAAATCGATCGAAAAGAAAAATAGACGACTACAGATAAGACGACCGTAGATTGTACAGACGAGTGAGTTAGGATGATTGTTACCTGTGTCTCGGTGAGATGAAGGGAGGACGAGAACTCGGCCCTCTCCGCGACACTGAGGTATTGCCTTTCGGTGAACTTCTTCTCGAGCGCGAGCAATTGTTGCGTGGTGAAAGGTGTCCTGGGCTTCCGGTTCGGCTTGTGTTTCCTCAGGTTGCACTTGATCTTGGCCGGTTCTCCGTTCTCTGCAACCGAAAGAGCAGTGTTCCGCTCGAGGATCATCCTTCGTTCGTCATTCATCGTCACTCTCGCGCGAGTAGCAAGCAAAGCAGGGCAAAGAGAGAGAAACGAGGGAACGTGTTTCGCGGGTTAGAACGAACCACGGCTGACCGCAACGTCCTGTTTTTACCATGGTCCAGGATCCAAGGGAGCACGGCAGGAAAGCAAACGCGACTTTTTAGGGGGTCAATTCATAATTTTCCCGTCGGAACGGCGCCGCAAACTGGCCTCATTACCTTTTTGCTAGCCGACCGCAAGATTCCGGCCCGCGAGTCTCTCTTACCTCCTCTATCTAACTCTGTTCCTTGTATTCATTAGCGGCGATATATCGTTCTACCCCCACGAAAGAAAGGTGTACCGATAATAACGCGAATAATTCGCCTCTCGGCTAGCTTAGACCTTTCGATTATACGACGTGCTCAGCTACAATTACGCCCCGGCCGATGTTGTGTAGCGCTGCTGCTCTCGACCTATACCACGCGACGTTTTGCGCGGAAATTTGTTACGATCGGTAATACGATGCACGTTGCAGGGAAGATGCAGGTTTTTTTCCAGACTCCTCCGGAGCACGGTTTTGCCGACGATCGATTATTTACTGGTTCGATGCGAGGGTTGGGACGTTCCGTAGGCTTGAGACGCGGAGGAAGTACTGTTGGTTTTATAGGGTAGCTAAGTAGCAGAGTATCTTGCTGGATGTGTGCTTTTTTCTGGAATTATCGCGTTCACTGTGAGCTCACCTGGTGCACTAAACCGTGCGTTGTTTTAGTACAGAGAAAAATTCACTTTGCAACGTGTGCTCTTTTCAATATCTAACAAGAACATCCAGGAATCTAAACTCAATTTTGGTGAAGAAAAGTTTCGTGTCAAGCCTGTGATCCAGAAATCTTCGAAATCTTCCCGATACAACAATAGCCAAATTATTCCTGAGAATTATTCGAGCCTCGTCCCCTAAAATCCAGAACAGAGTCACGCAGAATCAAACACTCCTCGCTACAACAGTTACAACAAGGCAAAACAATCGAAACAACGTTTCAGTAACCAAACACAGAGAGAGAAGCTCGTGTCGGAATATATCGGTTATATTCCCCAAGATTTGTCTCGAGACAATTGACAGATTTGTAGAGCGGAGGTGAACGGCTCTGGAAACGAGCGATTCTCGAGTCGAGACAAAAGGGCCGGGGAAGATCGTCCTGCCCGCTTCCGCACGAAATGTCCCCGCTTGGAGGATTCGCGAACGGGGCTTTTGCGATTCCGAGACGGCCCGTCGTTGACGAACGAGATTCGTCTTTTGTGCCTCGCGATCCTCCTCCGCCGGTCCCCCTTTCTTCCTGCCTTTCTCTCGCTATAAGTCTCCGAGGGTCCCAATTAGTCCGGGTATTCGAGGATCCGTCGAGGCTTCCGCCGCCGAAACCCTCGATTTTAATCCGAACGGGACGACGATCGAGAATGCGCATTCGAAATAATTAGCTGATCTCGCGGAGATACCGCGCTGATTCCGCGAAACGATCGAACGCGGAGGAGGATACGTTTTCGAGATCCTCTGGCTGATCGTTGCGTAACGATCCTTAGGCGATCTTCTCTGGAGATTTCGAGGCTACGCTTCCGTTTGCTCGATCGATAACGAAAATTCGGCTGTTTTACGATCTCTCGAGTTTGCTCTTTAATTCGTTTCGTTTTAGAGGTTAGGCTTAGTTTCTTCTTTTCGTGGAATAAGTTCAACTCAAGTTTTCCAGAGGGATTTGCGTGTGACGAGAGGTGAAGCAATGGCGCTGAATATTTTTAAAACGAGCACAGATAGGAAAATTGAATTGAATGGAGGTAAGGCAGCAAGTAAAAACGTAACCTTTCGATCGATTTTCATGCAAATTACTGAAATAATTAGCTGATCTCGCGGAGATATCTAACGAGGGGGACGACGATCGCGGCGAGAAAAAGGCAAGGTGAAGTCCCGATCGGCCGCTCTTTGTTGCGTTGCGTAACGTTTTCATGGACCACGATTTCTATGCGCTCTTATTAGCGTCTCGATCGATAAACCAGCTCCTGCTCCGTGCGTTTATTGCAAGACGAAATTCTCCAGAATCTTCCGTGGATTCAACTGTAAACGAATTAACCGCTCCTCTAATGAACAGGTAATTAATTTATACAAGTAGACATTTGTTAAAGTCTAATTCTCCTGCATTATCCTTGCTAATTTATTCCAAGATATTTTTCCATTGATTATCTCCAACAGAGAATGGGAATAAACGTGATCAAGTTAAGCGTATCGTACGATTGTTCGCTAGAACCAATTTCCAACCCCTTCTCGAGGGTGTTTAAAGCAGAAGAGCGGCGAGGGAAAGTCTGAAGAGTTGCACAATCTGCGGGAACACCCTTCGCGAGTGGCTATATTTCAAAATTACGCTGTTTCCCCCCGATTATGGTCGATTGTGCTCCACCTCCGTGAGCCACCCTAAATCGCGCAACAATGATCTATAAATCGACACGCAGACACCAGAGTTCCAGTTAAAAAGCAATATTTTCTTGCAACGTTGCGTATCTGTTGGACGTTAGAGAAACACACGAATTCACCTAAATCTGCTAAAGGAAATTCTCCAAGTTACCGCGAAGTGAACGATGTTTCATAAAATTCGACGAATTCGAAGAATAGACACTTGATAGTTCGCGGATGATTTGCAGTTGCGACACCTTTTTGCAATAATCGTCTATTGTTCGCGGTGCGGAATCCGCGACAAGAACCGGCCCTCTATTCGTCCCCCCTTCGCCGCGCGGAGCAAGCGAGAAAACTTTGATTGCCTCTTTAACGAGAGCTGCGCGCAATTATCAAGCCGCGACCTCAATAATTAGTGTTAACGATGATTCAATCGCGACGAGTCATCCGTTCCAAGAACCGCATTCCTTTTGCGGTGATTTTAGGTGAACCGCCGCGACGCTCATGCCTGTCTCAATTTATCAATTAGCGCCTTCTTTCTTCCGCCGTGCTCTTCGTCCTCGGGTCCCTTCGTTTCAACGCCTCTCGAGCCTCCGTAATCAGCTCGAGTCGATGTCCATTTGCTAAACGGCGTTACGCACCGATGCGTAAATCTTGGAATATTTTTCGCCTATTCGCGAGATTCGTGGAGGCTTCCCAATTTTCCTGAAGATCAAACGAACGCTTTTACGCACCGATGCGTAAATCTTGGAATATTTTTCGCCTATTCGCGAGATTCGTGGAGGCTTCCGTGGAGAATTCGTAAATGCTTGGCTACCACTCTCACGTTCCTGATATCTGTATTCTTTTCAGTTTGACATGATACGACAGATGCCTGCACTTATGCACACCTGATATTTATTAAATACCCAAACTGTGGGAATTGGTGGTAGCGAACTAAGGTCGCCGATCGAAATAGCTCCCGAATCAAAAATTCGATCGAGGCGAAAATAAAGGAGGAAGGCAGCGAGAGAGTGATTAGAAGCAAGAGGAGGGCAGAGGTTGCGTTCAGCCTAATTTTAAACAACGCCAGCCGTGGAAAGCGAAGAATGTCGAAGCCCGTCGGCTCCATTGAACCATCCTCGATCACCTCTACCCCGAAGCCAGCCTACCGATCGAGCTGCTTTCGAAAAGAATTCGAAACGAGAGAGTCGACTGGCGAGTGGCCAGCCGGCTCAAAGGCGGTTTGTCGTCGCTCCGTAGCAAATGGCGAACGTTCGTTCGAGAAGAGAGAGGAAAAAGAAAGAAGGGCAAACGAGCTTTTACTCACCGTTCAGAGGCGCGTGATGAGAGAAGTGCGAGGGGAAGAAGCTCGCGGTGGCTGCTGCGGCGGCTGCGGCTGCGGCTGCGGCTGCACCCTGATGTCCTCCGCCCCAAACCGCTGGATGAAGACCAGCTGGGATGCCGGAGATGCTGCCCAGGCTGGAAAATCCACCGATGTAGGCCGGTGTTGGCCTAACAGGCGTTGGACTGGTAGCAGACTGTTGATGCTGAAGATCTTCGACGTCCACCAGACTGTTTTCGTCCTCCTCTTCCATGTCTTCGGGTTCCGAGCATCTGGATCGAGCCTCGTGAGAGCTGCTTCTCGGCGATTGAGGAGCGAACTCCGATTGACCGGCCGAAGGGACTTTGGGGGACGAGGAACAAGGTAACTCCGACGTGGATCCTGAGTCCGACGTCTGGACCAAGTAGTCGAGGGTTTTCGAGCGTTGATTGGGCGATTCTACCCTGTCTAATTCCGCCTCGGAGAACCTCGACAGTATTCTAGCATCTAAAGTGGTTCTAGAGGTGTCACAGGTGTACCGAAGAGGTCTGTGCTCCTGGATAGTCGGAGACACTGACAGGTACCTTGATCTGTAGTCACCTGGATACTTGAGTATCGTGGCGTTCGACGTGATCGTTAAATGATCCTGTCTGACCGGTGATGATCTCGGCGACACCGACGATGTTTCTTGCCTCGAGTCTGACTTCTTCGTGTCAGCTAACAGGGCTGCGACGGAGAAGCTCAATCGATGCACCGGTTTCGACGTCGCCTGGGGCGCCTGTGCCTCGTTCGAACCTGGACTACTCGATGGAGGCGTCACCGGGGAGGTCATCCTTAGTACTGTCATTCTTAAACCGCGATTCCAACACCCCCGATAGACTTTTACTACTCTTCACTCTTCTATCTCACTCTCTCTCTCTCTCTCTCTCGAATCTTCTTCGATCCCTCCTAACTTCTCATCTTCCGTATGCTCGAAGAGAGAGAGCAAAAGGGAAGAAAAATCCTGTCACTGATACGACGACGAAGAAATCATCGGAAAATCAGAAATGTCTCTCTTCTGTACTTCTCACTGACTCCTCACAATCTCCTTCCACTCGAAAAAATATATCGAAACAATTGTTCTCCGCTTGGACGACGTTCGAGTAACAAATCTGACGATTACAACAGCAGAGGAGAGCACACGAGTGACGAGTGACGCGTTTGACAGGTGTGCAAACGATCGACGGATCGATGAAGATCTACGGGGGCCAGTTGACCTGGACTAGCCTCTCTACTCGACTCGACGAGCTCTCCGTGTGGACTGACTTTGACCATCGTCGGCTGCGCCGCTCGGACTTTTTCGTTTTGCGGGTGGAGGCGCCTGGCGGAGTTAGTGGGGGCAGCGGTGTGCGTTGAAGAGAGACGAGGCTATGGAACGAGAACGGCGAGCCAGGGGAAGGGGCCGGAGTCGGTAGAAAGGGGAAATCCAAAAGTGGGCGTGGCCAGCGAGCGGCAGAAGGGGCATGGCTCGGTTGGCTCCGCCCACGTTGGCCGGGTTCCTCTTCGCGGAACGGAGCTGAACCGAGCGTATATAGACCCTGTTAGCTGATTTTTCCTGGCCAGGGGATAAGTTTCTCTCTTGCAAATGCGTCCCCTGTGGGTACCACCGGGTGGAACGAGGGGCAGGGATTACTCGACGGATACAACCATGGTGGGGGTAACGAAGTGGAGGGGAGGTAGAAAGAGAGAGAGGAGAGAGATTTTATCGTTCGACTCGCGAGCCTCTGTACGTAGGAGACGGTAATGAGCGTAATTGACCAATTAGGGCCGGTGATTAAGACTGGAAAAATGCAGGCTCGCCTCCCCGAGTCAGCTTCGATCATCGAGCATCGTTATTGATCCTCGCTGACGTTTTGGAATCTCTGGCAAAAGAGTGGTAATGATTATTGGAGGTTTGTTTCTTCGGTGCTCGATGCGAGCCAACTGGTCAAATAACTAAGCGATAATTGGTAACGTGTAAATCAAGATAATACGCCGGGGAGTGTATTTTTGTGGAATAACGTCGTGCTCGACGAATGTGAAAAATTGTGCTTACCATCGATTCGTAGATGTAAAACGTTTCCCTATCCTCGTGAAAGAAATTCATCCAACATTTTGCACGATAAATCACCCCACATCGAAGCTCAGTTACGCAAAACACATTTTCGACCGAGAAGACTTGGGAGAAGGTTGATGGAAAAGGTGGAGAGTAAGGGAAGAGAAAGAAGCCATCCAGTCAGCCCTTTCCTCCTGGATTTCGTTTGTTCGCGCAGCCAGGTATATCGATTCGCAGTCGAACGGTGGCCCCGGTCCTCTGCTCTGCTCGTTCATCCCCCTCGGAATCGAGCCGAGTACGAGATTTTCGGGGGAAAACACACAGAGTGCCGTGCTCCGTGGCGCTCGTTTGTTCTGACGCCGCTGAGATCCCATCGTCGCATCCGTCCGTCATATTTACGGTACTTCCACCCCCTTTTCCTCCCCCTCCCCCCTTCTCCGCTGGACTTGACGTAGTCCGAGCGATAAGCAAAAACAAATGCCTGCCGATAGGTGGGTGAGATAAGCGTGGACGAATAAAACCTCATAGATGCTCTTCCATTTGCGCGGAATTGGCTGCAGCCGTAAATTTCATCGCGCGAACTTCCGCCGTCTCGCGCTGCCACTTCATCCGCCCGCCAAAGAGGGATCGATATCTTCGGCAGGGATCGATGGAAAACGATTCCGTTTCGCTTCCGTGCAACGTTGTCTTCCGACCATGCACCAACCTAACGCCTCTCCCGGTTGTCCACTGTTTTTAGGGAATATCGACGATACTTCGCCCGATTGGCTCGTGTATTCTGGCGAGTTTTTTCTGTAAGCGTAGACGTCGACGAAGTTGGTGTTGAACGGTGTTAGATTGTACCGTGGCATTGTTTCCTTGATATATTGATAATTGAATGTATTATGCTTGTACGGTAGATCTATTTCAGATGTAACATGTTGCTGGTAGACGTTCAAATTTCGAAGAAGTATCGCGGTTCAAATAATAAAATAAAATTGCGAGAGATAAAATTCGTTTGACAGCACACTCAAACAAAATCCTTCTAAATAGAACGTAAACGTTCAATTTCATGACGAATTGTGTACACAGCGAAGGACGGTAAACTCCGAATAAATTAAATTACGCTCCAATTATCCAGACGTAGATTAATCCAGTTACGATCGGACTATCTGCCAATTAAATCACACACACACGGGCACCGATTAAATTACACCACTTGTTCCTTAATCAGACTCGCCGAACAAACTTGTTTCACTTAAGCTTCGACTTCGTCTCGACAACTCGAGCCACGCACACCTCGTCATTTCCGTTTCACCAATCGCATCCTTTGGCAACTTCTCATAAAGCAACGAGAAACCTCTTGGTCGAGAAAAAGAAAAAAACGCGCGTCCAATCTTCATCTTTCTCCTCTATTCCATTCCGCGCCGTTTTCAGGCTTTAGAGATTACAATCGCACCGGTGGCAGCAGCGTTAAAAATCGCCGAGGAGTCTTCGTACCTGTATTCCCTCAGCGGGAGGGGAGGAACACGCTCCAGTCGAATGAAGTACGACGTCGATTAATTGTCTCTCGCGACTCTCCGGGCCGAAACGAGGAGGACAGACTCGCGTGATCGAGGGTGTCGATAGCGAAGCGGCGGAATAAAAGCTCATAGACCGCGCGCGGAATCGTCCGCGGCAATAAATTTGCGCGGCGCGCGAGAAACATCCCCGGGCAGCGCGTCTCTCCTTGTTCCCTTTTGTCGGTGTCGATGAAGCACCCGCGCAAGCGGATATTTATGGCGCTAGAAACTGCAGATTAAAACGGTAATTGTACATAGTTTCGCGCGGACAGATCGCCCTCCGCGCGGCTACCAGCCGGGAAATCGGTTTACGCGCGCGTTATCGCCCAGTTATAGCTTATTGAATTTACGGACCGCTCTCTCCGCTGCTGCGTCGTCCGCCTCGTCGTCCGCTCTATATCGGGACGCTCGATTCTGCTGGCGCGATTCTAGCGCTCGATAGTAGGCTAGGAGAGTTGCAAATTTGCTGCGGTTTCACGGCGTTTCTTTCTGAGGAAGATCGTTGGTTCGTGTCGACGCGAGAAATATACGGCGTTTCGTGATGATTTCGGAGTTTGATAGGTCGGAGGTGTAAATTTGTTGCGGTTTGATGGTGTTTGCTTGTAAGGAAGATTGCTGAAGAGGAATATACGGTATTTCGTGATGATTTCAGAGTTCGATAGGTCGGAGGAGGTGCAAATTTGTTGCGGTTTGACGGCGTTTCGCGAAGATTTCAGCGTTCGATAGATTGGAGAAATTGTAAATTTGTTGTGGTTTGATGACGTTTGCTTGTAAGGAAGACTGTTGCAGAGGAATATACAGCGTTTTACGATGATTTCAGGGTTTGATAGGTTGGAGAAGGTGCAAATTTGTCGCGGTTTGATGGCGTTTGTTTGTAACAAAGATTGTCAAGAAGGAATGAATCCTATAGGTACTAGACACTGTGCTTCGTGATGATTTCACAGTTTGATAGGTTGAAGAATTTGTAAATTTGTCGTGGTTTGATGGCGTTTGTTTCGGAGGAAGATCCTTACTTTTCGTGGCTGTACGGAAAATGTGACGTTTCAAACGTAAAATTTAATTGGCGTATTGTACGATCGTGAAGAAACGCGGCGAACAAAATGATTGTAAATAGGACGATAACTTCGTTCGATTAAGAAGGAATCTCGATCGTACCTACCGAAGCAGACCATAAAATCACTTAACAAAGCGATAGGACGTCTTTCGTTAACAGGCACATTAAGGTTCATGGGCCATTGATTTGCGAATTTTATATCTCGTATTAATCTCGCGATAGTTAATGGTGTTTACTAGGAGTGGGAGGATTGACGTCAAACACCGAGCTATCGTTAGTCTCAAATAAATACGATTCTAACGAAATGAACATACAACGTCAAACTTCTTCAAACGGAATAATAATACATTCATTACCGTCAAGTTTCCTTAGCGATAACATCCAAAGATCCACGAAAATATTCCCTCAAAATTCTTCCTCAAAAATATTGTCCAATTTGGTACAGCATCGTGGTTAATCGTTTCTATAAATGAAACGAGAGCTCGCGATGCGGGGTAATCAAGGAGCCGACTCAGCGTCACCGTGGTTCACAGGAAACGAGTGTTTTCTATTAACGATCAGGCGTGCGGGTTTCGTGGCGAGCGCGACGTTGGCGCGTTATTAAACATCGGCTTGCCAATAATTAAGGAGAACACGAGTGAGATCGGGCGATGGTGGCTGGCAGCGCATAGAGAGGGATGGGCCAATTTGGATGGTTACCAAGGCAAACGATACGTTAAATAGATAGGACGGCTGAGCGGTGGGGAAGCCGACATAATGAGGACCACCCGCTAGCTCCGCAAGACCCGCTCTGTACACGTACACGGTGTGTCAACGAGTTTCGCCTCGCCCTTTCTCGGAACAGTTTCCGCGTTTCGAGAAACTCGAAATTTGCTGAAAATTCGCTGTGACCGATTCTTGCCGCGGCAATTTCTCAACGGGCTTGCACGATCTACTGATTTCAAATTATTCCAATTTTTAATCTTATACTGGATACTTCAACAATTCTAAATTAATAGAACTCATCATTTTTAAATTTACAAAAATTGTGTTTGGAAAATTTTATTAGGTATGCAAGCCTTCGAAAATTTAGGCCTAAGAGTATTTTTCGAACAAGAAAAAATTGAAAATTTGCATTCGACGAATTCTGAACAATTAATACCAGAACGTTATCGTCGAAATTGTTCCATTAGCTATGCAAACCTTAAA